ACCGCCAGTGGCCAATGCCAGGTGCCCCAGAGGGAGTGAACCTAACAGGCAATGATCAAGTGATCTCTCTCCTGCCGTCCATCTCCATCCTCTGACAGACAGAGGCTAGGGACACCATTCCTTACCCATCCTGGCTGATCGCCATTAATGGACTTAACCTCCACGAATGTATCTAGATTTGCCCCCAAATCATTCCGAGAGCGGAGTTTTCAGAACCTCTGCCAGCGACGGAGAATCCAGCACAATCCTTGGTCAGTCGATCCAATGGGTGATTTCCCCCCCATTTACACCTTATTTCCAGTCTGAATTTGTCCCACTTCAACGTCCAGCCACTGGAACTTGTTAGACCGTATAGAAACCATAGATAGACACATGAGCTCTGTATTCTATCGATCCTCCACTGTGTTCGACTGAAGATCTTGGACTGTTTCCACGCCATCAGTCGCCAAGGAGCCAACGTTAATGCCTGGAATTTGTTCAGAATTTCCAGCTGGTGTCAAATTTCGAGATCTCAACGCCGAAAGAAAACGGGAGTTTGGCATTTCTGTTTTCCGACCCGTTCAAACGCAGAGCTGACAGATTTGAGGGGGGGATGGAGCAGGATGGTGGATTGGATAATTGTCTAAAGGGGCTGATGATATGCATGGGTATGCAAATTAGACCACAGCTTCATTTGCATGGATGTTGACCCATGTCCTGAGAGGCCTGCTGTGGCGGGGGTGAGTGCTTCCATCTCTGTCCCCCCAGCTCAGCTCTCCCGGATGCCCCCTCCCCTCTGCTCAGATGCCCCCTCCCCACTGGTCTGGTCTATGGGCGATCTCCCCCTGGCATCTCCACCCTCTCACCTGCTTCATCTTGGTGCCGTGCATGGAGCCGCTGATGTCGATGACAAACACCACGTTCTTCTGCACGGGGGGCAGGCCGCGGGGGGCGAAGTAGTGAACGAAGTAGCCGTTGTAGATCTGCCGGAGAGGGAAGGGCGCGGGGCCAAGGGGTGAGGGTGCGGCTGCCCAGGGCACAGGACACCCATCATGTGCTGGCGTGGCGGCGTGGGGAACCCATGGGACAGGCAGTGGGTGCCTGGGTGTGGGAGCCGTACACACCCTTCTGCCTGGGCATCCATCCCTCCCCATGCACACTCCTTCCCTCCTCCCCCCACCTCATTCATCCATCCCCCGCACACACCGTCCTCTCCCTGCCTCCTCCTACACACCCCATCCCTCCTCCTACACACCCCATCCCTCCTCCTACACACCCCATCCATCTCCCCTATGCTCCATCCCTGCCTCCATCCATCCCTCCCTTCCCCCCCGCAAGCCCGTCCCTCGACCCCCACTTGTGTCTATCTGCCTCCCTCCCCTGTGGGCTGTTCCCTGTTCCCTATTCCCTGGCCCTCATCCCCTCCCCACCCCCTTCTCCCCCGGCCGTGAGATCTCAGCTCCAGCCACCCCTCACCTGCACGTCCCCAGCCACATCTGGCATGGCCACGTCGTACTGTACCACGAAGTCCCCCAGGATGCCCGAGCTGGAGAACGCCACCTGTTCCTGCGGGGTCGGGGTGAAGACAACCCAAGCGCAGTGGCTCCCCTTCTCCACCCGGGTGGACAGCGGCACATCGGCGTCCCCTGCAGAGAAGCTGTGGTAATCAGGGCTGGATGGAGGCTGGGAGACAGGGACCCCGTGGCACACGGTCCCCTGCCCTTAGAGTTCTCCCTGCAGACCTGACAAACTCATTCCACCAGCCCCAGCCCGTCTCGCTCAACGTCCTGGAAGGAACCAGAAAATCCTCACTGGTGAAATGCCAAGACTGGGGGGGTGGGAAATAGGGAAGGGGCCGGGTCACGGATACAGAGCAAGCCAGGTGGCTCCAGGGAAACGCGTCCCTCTGGGAACAAGGCGCGCTGGCCGGCCTTACAGGCGGGGGGTCTCTCTCCTGGCAAGCAGCAACCTTGTGGGTCGTGGGGGACAATCAGCAGAAGAGGAACTCCCAGTGCGGCGCTGGGGCCCACGAGAACGATACAAGGGGTAGGGAACCGGCCTGAGAGCGAGGGACTCCCGGAGCTCAATCCAGTTCGTGTAACAAAGAGAAGGCGAAGGGGTGCTGTGATCACCGCTACAAGCCCCTACACGGGGCACAAATCCTAGAATCTCAGGGTTGGAAGGGACCTCAGGAGGGATCTAGTCCAACCCCCTGCTCAAAGCAGGGCCAATCCCCAGACAGAGTTTTACCCCAGTTCCCTAAATGGCCCCCTCAAGGATTGAACTCACAACCCAGGGTTTAGCAGCCAACGCTCAAACCACTGAGCTATCCCTCCCGCAAATATTTAACGACAGGCTCTTCGGTCCAGCAGAGGGAGGGCTAACCCGATGCAACCGCTGGACGCTGAAGCTAGACAAATTCAGAGAGGAAGTCAGGTGTCAGTTTTAACAGTGAGAGTCAATAACCATTGGACCAGGTTCCCAAGGGTGGTGCTGGATTCTCCAGCACGGGTGACTTTTCCATCAAGACAGGATCTCTTTCACACAAGCCGTGCTCTAGGCATGACTTGGGGCCGCTCTCTGGTGTGTTACAAAGGAGGTCACAACAATCCCGTCTGGCCCCGAGATCTGCGACTCTAGGTCGCGCAGGGTATTTCACGCGAGGCGTCTACAGAAAGCTCCTAACTCGTCAGGCCACGGGACCGTTGCGAGACATTCCAACGGGTAACAGTTAAGGGCCAATATGTTCCTACTGAAAGCAGGTTGGCTGGGCTTGGAGGAGAAATGTACCAGCAAAGAGCCTTGTTACTCATCAGCCAATTGACCTGTCTTGCTCCCTCCCAAAATTATCCCTGGCAAACTCAGAGGTACCACATCGCAGGCTCAGAGCCTCCCCCGCCTAGCCGACCTGGGGGAAACCCCACTTGATTAGCTAGGAGAGGGAGCGACCCAGATTGGGATTTCAGGATCTAGCTTGGTACCCACTTGTTTCCATCACTGGGTCTATTTCAGTCTTGAGTCCTACTTTAATGAGCCGTTTTCTAGAAGTGCCCACAAGTGCTCTGTGTTACACGGGGGTGGGGTGGGGGGGGAGCGACTGAGGGGCCGAGGATTGGGGATTTCAGGGGCACTCAGGGAGTGGGTGCCCTATTGTTAAGCTGCCGGGCGAAGTTAGGGCTGGCCCAGCCCAGAGGGGAGTGCTGGAGTGGCTACCAGCAGAAAGATTCCCTCTTGCTAGAGTGACTTGTATCCTGAGTAACCGGGGAACAGTCACAAACACGCCAGGGCTCTCGGGCCACTGAACAGCAGCAGAATCCCGGCTTTCAGGTTAAAAAAAAAAAAGCAGAAGAAGAAGAGTAAGTTTCTAGGCCACGGGGTTGGGGAGAAAAGATGAAAAACGTGACAGATGCACCAATGCCTGCCTGAGTGTGCAGAGAGCCTGAGCCGACCGCTCGCAGAGGTGTGAACCGTGTGTACCTCGCAAGGCGTTGGTGAGCAGGCGGCTGGTGCGGAGGGACAGCACGTGGACGTAGGCGATGCCGGTGCGCTCCGAGATGCTCACCTCCACGGTGAGGTTCCCCACCACCTGCTGGGGACGCACGCTCACGGCGTGCTGGTACTTGCCCAGGTGCCGCTGCAGCAGCTCCTCGTAGCTCAGCTCGAAGGACACCTGGCTTCCGGCCGCTACGCTGGCAGAGACCCGGAACTTCTCCGTCTCTCGATCCCTGGGAAGGGGCCAAGCCAGGGATAGAACCCAGGAGTCCTGGCTCCCAGGCCCCGACCCTCCTCCCCTCCCAGAGCTGGGGAGAGAACCCAGGAGTCCTGGCTCCCAGGCCCCGACCCTCCTCCCCTCCCAGAGCTGGGGAGAGAACCCAGGAGTCCTGGCTCCCAGCACCCCGCTCTAACCACTAGGTGCCGGGGTCTCACCTAGTGCCAACATGAGCCGCTGTCTGGCCCTGTCTCCGGGCCTCGTCGTACATCTTCTTGGCTTGATGCTTCTCTTTCACCTCGGCCACATAGAGTTTATTGTTGATGGTGCTAGGATGGAAGAGAGGGGGATTATGGGACATGGCCTGAAATCTGCCAGATAGCAGCAGACACAGTGGGGGTGGGTCTCCTTGATCAGACCTGGTTCTGGGGACCCTCCGTCCCCATCCCCACCCCTCCATCCCTCTCCAACCCTCCCTCCCTCCCTCCATCCACCCATCCCCACTCCTCCATCCACCCCCCTTCATCCACCCACCCACCCCTCCATCACTCACCACCTCTCCCTCCATCCACCCATCCCCACTCCTCCATCCACCCATCCCCACTCCTCCATCCACCCACCCCACCCCTCCATCACTCACCACCCCTCCCATCCAC